ACTAGAGATTTGGCCCAGCTTTTGCTCACTTAGAAATTTGGTGAGATTTAGTTCTTCTTCTTTTTCCCAAGTCTAATTTAGAGATTTATAGGCCTATGATTCTAAGAATCATGATCAAATCCAAATCTTGCTATTATTGTTTTCCCCAATTTTTTGGTTTGTGTCAAGTTCTGTATAGTGTAAGGGGAGGCCACCATTTTCCACCATTTTTTATAAGAAATCAGCCACATTGCTCATTTTTTCATCTTTGATTTAAATTAGGTTAGTTCTAATCCTTTAGGGTTTTCAATTTTGGGATTGTTTCTGTAGTTTTCTGTAATACCCCAAAATTTTCTAGAATATTTAAGTGTAAGTTAAGGACTAAATTGTGGAAAAATATTGTTTTGGGATTAATAACCAAAATATCCAAAGTTGAGGGGCTTAAAAGAGTAGAAATTTGGACAAGGATGGCTTATTTCTTTTCTCCTTTTCCTCTTTCTTCTCAGCCCGATTCTGCTCTTCTTCTTCTTCTCCCCGTTGCAGCCCACCCGAAAGAAGAAAAAAAAAGGGAACCCAGCCATGCCTTGGAAAACCGGTAAGGAGGCTTGATATTTTCCTTCATTTTCTTGTCCAAGAACCCGATTTGGAGCTTAAAATCCCCCCCTCTCTACAGAAATCCCAGATCTACTCTGCTCCTTCCTTCCTCACCGCCGGCTGCTCTTGATTGTGGGTGCGAATTTCTCTAATTTTTGGGTAAGAAACAGCCACCAATCCCTTTGTTCTTCCTTGAATTGGCTTGGGTTTACCGAAATTTCTCTTGGTTTCTCCAATTTCCGGTAGATTCCCCCTGAATTTTCCCTGCATTCCCGCCGGCTCCTCCCCAAGTTGCAGCTCCGGCCTTGCTTGCTGGATTCCGGTATGGACAGCTCCTCCAAGTCGAATTTATCAATTAATTGTTGCTTGGGTTGTTGAATTTAAATCCTCTAGTGGCTGCCCTTGCACTGTCCGAATTTTATTGAATTAGGGGGATGAATTTTGGTAGTAATTAGAGCATAATTAAGTTTAATTTATGTATAAAATTAGTTATTTTGGCTGCTGTGAGATTTTGGAGTGAAATCCCGTGAATTAGCTAGTGTTTTGACCAATTTATGGAAGTGCAGTTACTGTTCACGAGCACTGTTCACAGGCACTAATGGCCAACAATTAATGGGGATTTAAATGTTTAGTTTGTGATATAAGAACAAATTTGGAGATGTCCGATCATATGGAGATTGATAGGAATAGCATCGTGATTAAAGGTAGTCCTAATGATGATTTCAGTTTGAATTTGTGGTAGTATGGTAATTAATTCTTGGATATTTTGATTAGGTTCTTGAGTGTTTTGTCACCTGAGTACTTGGCTTGAGTTCCGGATTTGAGATAAGTAAATTTATGGTAATGCCCGTACAGTTTTTAAAAGCATGTTCTGATTTGTTTTTGAAGTGGTGACGGGACAAAACCTGTTTTACACAAGTATGATCAATTGAAATGAAATTTTTATGCTTTTTATTAAATTGAACATGCTTATTTGAAATTTAATTGATTGTCCTGATGATTTGAAAGTGATTGGTGAATTATGATTTTTCTGTTAACTTCAGCCTGTTTTGTCTCCGATGTGGTCATGTTATTAGTGACCCTGCTAGTGGAGGTTAAACGCTAGCACATGTCGACATGTTAGTGATAGAACAGGTTCGTTCGAGTAACCTTGCTAGTGGGGATTATACACTAGTAAATAGTGCGCCTACCAGTGGTTAGTTTATAACACTGGCCGTGATCAATAGAGGAGACGTTTATTTTGTTCCCGTACTGTATCCGTTTTTCGTGATTACACTTGTTGGCATGCTATAAGTTTAATTACGGGCATCCATATTTACTTACTGAGTTTATCTCATAGTTTTTCCTTGTCCACCATTTGAGGAAGTGAAACCAAGGACGGAGAAACCACGGGAAGTGACGAGTTAGAAGGCTAGCCATTTTGTAAATTGAATATGGATTTTAGAAATAAATCATGATCTTGTAAACTAGACTTTATTGGAGATTTATGATATTAGAGCAGATTATTAAATTTGATCTTCAGATTTTGATGGTATCAAATTGTGGTATGATAAGTTCCGAGTTTTGTGCATTTGTGGGACCCTCTCACGAGTGCACGGCGTCTGCCACGTTCTCAGATTTGGGTTCTGGGGCGTGACAGATTTTGTGGTATCAGAGTTTAGGTTGAAATTAAGAGCTTAAGTTTGAATTAAGGGCTTAAGTTTGAATTAAGAGCTTATATTTAAATTAAGAGTTTAGGATTAAATTAAGCACCTCCAGATTGAGTGGTATCAGAGATTAAGTTTAATTGAATACCTAGTATTTGTTTTAGAACTTGGCTAGCCAATGGATTTTAGAACCGTGGTGAGATGAGTGATGGGGTATATAAGGGACAATTCTGATTCATGTTGCCTGAATTTTCTAATCCATTTTGATGAGATGGTAATCTAATTGTTCTTGTTTCCTGCTTTCATACCCTGTGTAGATTCATGAAATTAATCTTGTCCGCCATGTCCTTAAGACCTTGTTTTGAACTTGGTCATTTTCTGATAGTCTGCACTTGTTTAGACTTGTTACTTGAATAGAATTTTTATATGCTCTATTGCCACCATTGTAAAATCTAGGGAGTTGCAGAGATCTTTTGCTATTGATTCTGTTGGCCTCTACAGCATAGCTGGTTGAGAAATTTGTTCTGTTTGTCACATGACCAGTGGAAGATGGGCGACGCTCTACTTTGTAAGAGATTTAAGGCTATTTTAGCAAATGTTGTGTGTTTTTCTAGATGCGTTTTAGGAGCTAGATAGCTTGGTAATTTTTCTGCTCATTATCTTTCTGAAAGTCTTATAGTGAAATTTCATTTTTTTCCATTTGGAGCTTCATAGTCTTTTCATATGGCTCATTTTTCTATATTGGTTAATCAAAAACAGTGATCGATTCAATTGACATTGTCATTTTTTTGTGAAGATTGGCAAGCTGTCATAAAGTTAAACTCTCTATTCTTGCCAATCTCTACCTTCTTGATACCTAAAACTGCTTGAAACTCTTGAAATCCATCTTGAGTCTTTCTTGATATTGCTTTGTACTTGTTCTTGAAACTGAAATTCAGAAATGGATAATGATTATTGAAATCCTCATTATCTTGATACTTGTCTAAAACTATTTCTTGAAACTGTTTCTGGCATTGTGCTTGGAATCGGTGCGTAAACCTTTCTTGAAATTAATTCTTGTTGGAATTCTGCTCTTGAAAATTGACTGATATTGTTCTTGGAATCTATTCTTGAAAATCAATCGATATTTGGTTTTTGGAATCTATTTTGAATTGTCCTTGAAAACCATTCTTGTCCTGACCTTTGCTCTTGTTCAAATTTTGTATACTGCTCGTGCTCAAATCCTGCATATTCTGCTAGTTCTTGTTTTAGCATACCTGTCAATCTTCTTGATTTTGATTTTGTTCATATAGACACCTTTTTAGGAGGGGTGATGATTATTAGAAAATACCTATATGAGGCATCCTAAATTCCTATCTCTTGCAAGTGTTAATCTCTATATCCTTGATGTCTTAGCTTTGACTTGACTCTAGGGTGTCTAGGATCACTTGATTGTAAATCTGCTTAGCCTCCATGGGCTACGAGGTGAAGGGGTAGTCTTTAAAGTACCTAATGCCCTAGAGTTTTGTTCCAAGAGAAATGGTTCTTTTATTTGACTGCTTAGATTCTTGTTTGCCCTTTTAATTAGAAGATAGTAATCTTCTAAGTATCCTGATCCCCACTATTGAGTATTCTATTAATTAATTCGTGTCACTCGGGGTGTTAGATCTTAACATCCTGGTTATATCTGCTCTTGAATCCATGTTCTGGTTGTCATTATTGAAATCTCTTTTGTGGGCCTAATCCTTGAATTCTATTGCTTGTTTCATGGTTAACTCTTGTCTCTCAATTTTGACTGCTTGGTTAAATTTGATCTTGATTCTTAGAGAATGCCGTTTTATTGTTGAATTTTTGAGGCATTCTACCTCGCACTCTTTTGTTTCAGCGTTCTTCCAAGCGTTCATATTTTTCTATTGATTTTATTCTGATGCTATTCTGGAAATTTCACATCATTTGATGGGTCTAGCTTTTAACTCTTGTTAATTGCTAAAATCTGTTTCTTGATTCTAGTTGCTTTGCTAAACATGACCTTGTTTATTGGTTGACCTTGTTTTGTGGCAGAATGTATAAGGCATCCATGCACTCATTCATTCATGATTCGTACATCTATTGGATGCTTATCCGTCTTTGATAGAGTTCAAAGCTTTGTTGTACTTGTCTTTAAATCCATGCCATTCTTTGCCAAATCGTCTTGTGTTGGGTTTATAGTGTAACCCCATAATCGTTCTTTTGTGGCTTTGGCAGGATTTATTTTTATTCCTTGTGCTTCTCATATCACCCCAGCCTCCAGTAGCTGGTTTTATGGTAAATCCTGTTAAGTAGTTAATGTTCTGCTTTTAGGATTAGTTGTGGTTTGTTATCAAAGTGGCGCAGCGGAAATGTAGTAGGCCATGTTCTGTTCATAAAGAGTTGGTGAGGCATTTGTTCTGTCTTGGATTGTGTGAAGCCATTCATCACTCGAAATGATCCTCAATTTGAGTTTTGGGCACAAAACTCTTTTTTTAAGAGGGGTGGATGTAATACCCCAAAATTTTCTAGAATATTTAAGTGTAAGTTAAGGATTAAATTGTGGAAAAATATTGTTTTGGGCTTAATAGCCAAAATATCCAAAGTTGAGGGGCTTAAAAGAGTAGAAATTTGGATAAGGATGGCTTATTTCTTTTCTCCTTTTCCTCTTTCTTCTTAGCCCGATTCTGCTCTTCTTCTTCTTCTCCCCGTTGCAGCCCACCCGAAAGAAGAAAAAAAAAGGGAACCCAGACATGCCTTGGAAAATCGGTAAGGAGGCTTGATATTTTCCTTCATTTTCTTGTCCAAGAACCCGATTTGGAGCTTAAAATCCCCCCCTCTGTGCAGAAATCCCAGATCTGCTCTGCTCCTTCCTTCCTCACCGCCGGTTGCTCTTGATTGTGGGTGCGAATTTCTCTAATTTTTGGGTAAGAAACAACCACCAATCCCTTTGTTCTTCCTTGAATTGGCTTGGGTTTACCTTAATTTCTCTTGGTTTCTCCAATTTTCGGTAGATTTCCCCTGAATTTTCCTTGCATTCCCGTCGGCTCCTCCCCAAATTGTAGCTCCGGCCTTGCTTGCTGGATTCCGGTATGGACAGCTCCTCCAAGTCAAATTTATCAATTAATTGTTTCTTGGGTTGTTGAATTTAAATCCTCTAGTGGCTGCCCTTGCACTGTCCGAATTTTGGTAGTAATTAGAGCATAATTAAGCTTAATTCATGTAGAAAATTAGTTATTTTGGCTGCTATGAGATTTTGGAGTGAAATCCCGTGAATTAGCTAGTGTTTTGGCCCATTTATGGAAGTGCAGTTACTGTTCACGAGCACTGTTCATGGGCACTGTTTAAGGGTACTGTTCATGCACTAATGGCCAACAATTAACGGGGATTTAAATGTTTAGTTTGTGATATAAGAACAAATTTGGAGATGTCTGATCATATGGAGATTGATAGGAATAGCATCGTGATTAAGAATAGTCCTAACGATGATTTCAGTTTGAATTTGTGGCAGTATGGTAATTAATTCTTGGATATTTTGATTAAGTTCTTGAGTGTTTTGTCACCCAAGTACTTGGCTTGAGTTCCGGATTTGAGATAAGTAAATTTATGGTAATGCCCATACATTTTTTAAAAGCATGTTTTGATGATTTGTTTTTGGAGTGGTGGCAAGACTAAACCCGTTTTACACAAGTATGATCGATTGAAATGAAATTTTTATGCTTTTCATTAAATTGAGCATGCTTACTGGAAATTTAATTGATTGTCCTGATGATTTGAAAGTGATTGGTGAATTATGATTTTTCTGTTAACTTCAGCCTGTTTTGTCTCCTATGTGGTCATGTTATTAGTGACCTTGCTAGTGGGGGTTAAACGCTAGCACATGTCGACATGTTAGTGATAGAACCGGTTCGTTCGAGTGACCCTACTAGTGGGGATTATACACTAGTAAATAGTGCACCAGCCAGTGGGTAGTTTATAACACTGGCCGTGATCTATAGAGGAGACGTCTATTTTGTTCCCGTACTATATCCGTTTTTCGTGATTACACTTGTTGGCATGCTATAAGTTTAATTACGGGCTATCCATATTTACTTATTTAGTTTATCTCATAGTTTTTCCTTTTCCACCATTTCAGGAAGCAAAACCGAGGACGGAGAAACCACGGGAATTGACGAGTTAGAAGGCTAGCCATTTTGTAAATTGAATATGGATTTTAGAAATAAATCATGATCTTGTAAACTAGACTTTATTGGAGATTTATGATATTAAAGCAAATTATAAAATTTGATCTTCAGATTTTGATAGTATCAGATTGTGATATGATAAGTTCCGACCCTTGTGCATTTATGAGACCCTCTCACGAGTGCATGGCGTCTGCCACGTCCCCGGATTTGGATTCTGGGACGTGACATTTTCCTTCTTTATACTACCCATAATTTAGCACCACCAAAATTTGATCCATTTTGCTGGAAATTCTGACAGCATAATCTTATAGTAGTGTTTTATCCATAACTCTTTCTACAGCTATTGGATTAAGTCCATTCTTGATTCTATGGGAAGTTAAGAGATAGCCCTATAATTTTTCTATTGGACGTGTAACCTAGTTAAGATGTTTTCAAGGTGAAAATTCTACTGCAAGTTCAGTTCCTAAAGGTAGACGGAACAAGTAGCCAACCTTATGTTAGTATTATGACTATGACTTTCTTTGTAAAGGTTAGATTAAAGTGATTCTTGATCCTATAGAAAGCTTAGGCATATGGCTACAATTGATCTATTAACCATTCAACCCAAATTAGTCAATTTCTAGGTGCAAATTCTATTGAAACTTCAAGTTTAGAATCTAACCAAAACTTGCCCTCAAAAGTGCCTAGACATTTGCTCTGTTTTTTGCTTTATTGCCACATTACCTATGGCCACATTGCATCGTGGTTTTACTAGACTTTTAGCTGCTGTTTTTCTACTCTAAAATCCCTTGTTATTGCTTTAGTTTACTACTAAAATATTGCTATGTTAAGCTCAACTCCCTTTCTTGAATCACATGCTTTTCTTGCTTAAATTTGGTATAAAATAGTTCTAAACAACTCAGAAATTTTATATATGGTTAGTTATTGTTTCAACTTGATATATTCTTGTTTTCATGCTAGAAAATATGCAATTATATTAGTTAAAATCTACCTTTTTGCATCTAGCTTTAAATGTAGCTTCTGCATTTAAATTGTATTGTTTTGTCTTGAAATTCCTATTGTTTTGGATGCCTTTTTGTTGTTGCCTTTCTGCTTAAATGTTGTCCATTTCTACCTTGTTTGGGCTTGTATTCTACACTGTTTTCACTACTGCTTTTGCCCATAAATCCCTGTTATTCAAGGCTTTTTCTAACCATCTTGGGACTATTTTAAATGGTAGAAATCCCACTTTGCTGCCCAATATTTCTATTGGTGTCTAGGATAGTTAAAAGCTCAATTTTTCATTATTTCCATGCTTTATTTTACCTAGAAAATCTGTTTGAAATACCTGCTATTTCATGTGATATTTGGAGTTGTTTTAAGCCTATTCTAAGTATGATTAAACACACACATATATTAATAAGGTTTCAATGGGTAGAAGTGGCAGAGATGTGTAGGAGGAAGTTGTTTCTTTGGTTAAGAACTTAATTATGGAATTAGGAATCAAATTAGTTAAATGGAATATGTTGTAATCTTGTTTATTCATTTGATATGGTATTCTAAATCACCTCAACAACCCTGAGGTCTTGTATTCTTGCTTGTTGTATGCTTATAAAGCAAGGTAAGTAAAACTATGATAATTGCCTTTGGATTTTTAAGGTAAAGGTTTTAAAAGTATTTTGAATTGTTTTTGAGATGGTGGCGAGACCTAAACTGATTTTTAGCACATGAGCATGACTGTTTGAAATAAGATTGTTATTATTTTTATTAATTTAAGCATGCTTACATGGAATTTAATTGATTGTCCTAATAATCTGAAATTTTATTTGTAAGTTACGAGTTTTTTTGTTAACTTCTGCATATTTGTAAATTATAAATTTTCCTATTAACTCCTGTATATTTGGAAATTATGGATTTTCCTATTGAACACCTATATGATTTTGTCTCCAATATGGTTATGATTCTTGAAGCTTGCCAGTGAGAGTTGTAAACACTAGCACATGTCGACATATATTTTTGTAGGATCGATTCATTCTATATTTTTGTTATCTTGCCAGTGGGAAAGTACACTGGTATTTCTACTATCTAGTCAGTGGGAGACTACACTAATATTTCTGCTATCTAGCCAATAGAAAAGTACATTGGTATTTCTATTATCCAACCAACTAGGAGTGTACATTAGCCATGACTAATCGAGGGACCATTAATTAAATTTCAATATGCATAAATTATTTACAATTGACATTTTCTTCCTATTTAAAAATTAAAATGTTTAGTTGGCATGTTTTAACTTTAAATAAGGGTCATCCATATTTTACTTACTGAGTTATCTCACACAATTTTTCCTTGTCCACCATGTTAGGTGGTGAGACCATAGACACGGGAAACTAAGGGAAGTGACGAGCTAAAAGGCTAGCCACTTATATTTTGGACTTAGTTCATTTTGGAGATAAACTCGCTAGACTAATCTTGTTGGACCTAGATTTTTGAGATATAAATCATTCTTTTGTAACTAGATTCCCTTGAGGATAGTTATGACTTGATTTATGGAGTTGTATAATTTTTGTGCACTCTTGGCCTAGTCAAACTTTGGTTATTAAAAGCTAGGTCTATTTTGAGATATTGATCTTAGTTAGTGGATTGCCAGATATGAATTAAGCAAGTTCTGAGCCTTGTACATTTGTGGGATCCTCTCACAACTGTACGACATTTGTTTTGCTCCCAGTTTTGGGGCATGGCACTTATATGGGTAGATGATCATTAGCAGGCAACTAAGCGCATACTACGTTATGTCAATGACACTATCTTCCATAGTCTTCTTCTTTGAGGGCAACTAGTGAGTCTTCTCCATGCCTTTTTTTATTATAACTAGGTGAAAGACAAGGACACCCTGTAATTGACTATCAACTATATGGTGTTTCTTAGAAGCATTCTAATATTATAGAAGCCCTATAAGCAAGAAATCATAACTTGTAGTTTAGCTAAAGTGGGGTACAACACCCTTGCTACCATGTGCTCTAAGTTTGTATAGATCCATCACCTTTTTCATGAACTGGGTTACAAAGTCTCTAATTTGCCAACTTTTTATTGTGATAATGTTGGGGCCAGATACCTCAATAATAACCTAATAATGCGTACTTGTATTAAACATATTATTATTGACCTCCATTTTGTTCAAGAATTGGTTGATCAAAAGGTCCTACGTGTTATTCATATTTTCACAATTTATTAATTGGTCAATGGTCTCACCAAGCCTTTATCCACTTAGCATTTTCCCCAACTATGAAGCAAGCAAGATTAGAGTTACTGACGGTAATTCCATCTTGTGGGGGAGTATTAGGTAACTTAATCAAGTCAGCAATCTAAGTTAATCAATCAAGTCATAAGGCAATGTTATTGCTAAATCATAAATTCATCAAATCGAAGACACAAGGCAACATTATATTCTACATATCACAAGCTAGAGGTGCAAAATCTTCATTAAAGTCGATGTAGGCTACTATGAATATTCTTTAGCTACTATTCTATCTTTATGCTTTGAAATAGTACCATCTTCATTGAATTTGGTCTTGTAGACCCTTTTTAGGTCGATCACATCTTTAACATCTATTAAATCAACAAGCTCTCATGTGTGATTTTTTTCAAATACAATCATTTCATCATTCATAACTTTAATCTAAATGTCTTCTTTAGCCATTGCTTCAAAATTTCAGGGCTCATATGCACAAAATGCAACATTAGAAATTTCATAAATTTCTCTCAAATCATGTACCCTTGTAGGTGGTAACTTAGAATTTGATGTGCCTCTAATAGATGTTGATAATGATGCTCCATGTAGATTTGAATTGGATAGAGTACTTAGTTCTCCTACAATTGTTGGTTGCAAATGAACTTCAAACAGCCTTACTCCTTATGATTCTTGAGACTCCTTTTGACTCTTCCACTTCCATGAAGCCATTTCATCAGAGATAATATCCCAAGAAATCACAAGTTTATTAGCAGTTATTCTAAATAAGTAAACCTTTTGATTCATCGCTATAGCTAATGAAGATATATTTTTCTACCTTTCCATCAAAATTTTCCCAATATTGAAAAGGAACAAGTGAGTAAGCAATGTAACCAAATACTTTGAATTGGCTTGCTTGTGGTTTGTGTCTATGCCGTACTTCATATGGAGTTTTATTCCAAATAGCCTTTGTTGGAGAACAATTTAAAATGTCAACAACAAAGTTAACAGCTCTACCCAAAATTTATTTGGCAGTTCTTTTCCATTAAGCACACTTGGTGCCATGTCTACAATTGTGCAATTCTTTTGTTCTACTACTCCCTTCCATTTTGGAGTATGCCCTAGAAAAAAAAATTGAAGACTAAATGGTATTACATTACCTCTAAAATTTAGTGAGCACCTTATTTAGAGGTTTTATGCACAAACCCTCAAACCTAAGAATTCATGGCAATTTTGTTTTTCTCTCATCTTGTCCTTGAAGAACCTACATGCCTCACCCCTTGTCTCAAGGTAAGTGTTATCCACCTAGAGATGTTCTAGCATGTCTTAAGAAATTTTTAAGAGAATTATGGTAAATCCAGTTTAGTTATCATGTCTTTGGTTTTGCTGCCAAAGTAAGGGGTTATGGGAATAAATTTGGATCTCCAAGTCGGGGAAAAAAAGAAAGGAGATTGAGATTGAGATACCATGTGCCTAAATTGTGTATCATATGAATATGTGCTTACTATATTAAATTTCTATAGCATCCAAGTTTGATTTAGGGGTTTGTTAATATATGAAACTGGTGGATGGCTCCCATTAAATTGTTTGGATTAAATTATAATTTAGTCTTGATTAATAATAATTATAATTGTTAATTTGTAGGCTCCAAATAACATTTTTGGCATTTTAGTTGGAATCTATAACTTGTCAGTTTTGACATAATTAACATACACTTTTTCCTTAGATTACTTATGGTATGTCTTTTGAAAATATGTCATGAAATTATTCATTTAAATACTGTTTTACTATATTAGGGTTACACAAGCCTACGAATAATGTTTCTTATTGTTAATGTATTTACTAATTTGTCTAAAATTGTATCTTAATTTATCTCACATTTTAAGTTTGTTTTTATGCAAAATACC